TCTCGACGGCTCGCCTCCTCTTACGACAAAAAATAATTCAAGATGGCCAACGATGAGATGCAGAGCTTTCCCCTGCAGATTCCTATCCGTCTCCGGGTCCTCCCAGCTTCACAGGAAGCATTGCCTGACCGTTTAATACACCTTTAAGATTCACGAGGCAAACACCCTACCGTCCTGCAGCTGCTCCTTGTGCTATCCCCGAGCCACCCACTCTGCCCCTGCAGCTGCAGAACAACCATATTGCTTATGCCCAACTGGTAGCCGCCAACTGATCCTGGAGTGTTCGTCTCGGGAGCCACAAAGAGTGATCGATCGCCAAACTGTTCCTGAGTCCCAACCAACCAATCAGCAGCTGCTCTTCAAGCGACCGGCGCAGCGCCCTTCAGCCAACGGCACAGAGCAGTACTGTGGAGCAACCACACCTTTTCATATCTTGCGTCACAATATCTGCTTTTGCTTGTGGCAACAAACGACCTCCCAGAAACTCCGGGCAAATCCCACAGTCGCTCGACGGGCTATGCGTTGCGCACAAGAAGATAGTCTTGAGAATTGTGAGGCTTCGTCAGTAGACAGCACAGCGCTTCTTCTCCCGTCCTTTCCGATGTTCATGGTGCGTAAACAAATGATGCAGAATGCACAATCAACCCATTTGGGGTAGCCCCCTGAGCCCCAGGCTTTGCGTTGCACAGTTGCCTTGGTCGCGGCTGCTAGTCAGCTCTCTGAAACCCTGTGGTTCCTCGCTGCATACGATAAGGCAGTCACAACACACCACAGAGGCTTTGGTTTTGGGGCGCATGAGCGCCTGCCGTCTTCCTATTTTTTTCGCTTTACGTGCTATGCTTTGCAATTATCCGTATGTGTCTCTTCTGCCAGACACATACCAAACATTGCAAAGCATCCGCTCTAGAGCCTACCATACGCAAAAGGGGGCATCAATAGACTGCCCCGTTTGGCGTTCGCTAGCAATCAACGAACATACACTCACCGACAAGTTGGATCGTGAGACAACCCGTTATATTGCTGCCAGCTTCCGTCTTCAACTCCACGCTTCTCTCTATTAAGCGTCGACCTGCAAGGCCGTCAGCAAAGAAAGCCAATCGAGACAACCTATGACCGAAGCATGGGAGATGTGTCTCAACGGAATATGCTAGCAGGCGAAAATTACGATTGCAGGAACACATAATTCCTGAAGAAAAGGATGCCTGTTTGGAGAGCATAGGAAGTGATGAAGCGGCATGTTGGCCTTACTGTCTCCATTCTCGAAAAGCGCAGTCGCATCCACACAGAAGTTTTCCATAAATATCGCGGCGGCTTGCAAAATCTGCGGCGCACATTGAGCTCGCAAAGAGAAGAAGCGTAGTGTGAATGT